AGCGTCCTCGGGGTTGTTTTAGTTTCTGATAATTTGGCCAAGGTTTATTACATAGATTTAAAATAAACGCTGTTGGAATGTGACTTTATTTGTACCAAGGAATCATCGACAATAAGGGAGAATATTAATATTTTATACCTATATAACAATAAATGTTTTCGATAACTATAGTTCGCTGTCCTTGTAACAATTAAATTGAGTTTGTCCGTTATAATACAAATATTTGCCAGTAAAATTAATATATACATAACTCCCATTTTTGAAGTATATGACTGCACCCAATTATTAAAATATAAGTCTTCAAATTTGGATGGGCCTCATGCAACAAACTTGGCTTCTCATTTCATTTGAGTATGACATAATGTTTAAATATACCCACACTTCTTTCTGAAAATCCATTGAATGAAGACTGTCGAAAAGAATTTTTCCAAACATTTATTTTTAAATTTGTAAATGCTACCGTGGTTAAGGAATCTTGGTATGCATACTCTGAAAATAATGACAGCGTCAGATGTGGTTTTGTTGAATATTTTACTGTCGAAACAAAAAGGGACTGGGGGGATATTCAAAAATCCAAGTTGCAATTTTTAATCTGAATCCAGTTTTAACTCCAAATTGGTTTGAGCCGTCTCTTTCTAATTCTTATATAAAAAACAACATAGAACAGTAAGTGTTTTCTCATATTACGGTTTATGAAGTAAATAATGAAAGCAACCAAGTTTTAGTGTTGTTATTTTTTCACCAAACTAAGAAACAACGTAGTTTTACACTAGCCGTACGAGAAAGGTTATTGGATTAGTGTTTATCTTTTAATTTCGAACTTCTTGTTGTTTTGAATCACCTTGTACGAAATAATGAAGAATAAGATTACATTCGTGACTTATGAGGTGATGCATGATGTTTAATATTTCGACATCAACATGAATAGATCTACTAACTACACCACCGGGAAATTCTGGGAAAGCACACTTTGAGAAGGTGATTGATGGATCTCATTAGGGCTCCATCGGAATAGGAAGTAAACCTACCCTTGACATTTATAGCAGGCCTGGCATAGCCAGGTGGTTAGGGCGCTTGACTCACAATCTGGAGGTCGCGGGTTCGAATCCCCGTCCCACCAAACATTCTCGCCCTTTCAACCGTTGGAACGTTATTATGTAACGATCAATCCCACTATTCGTTGGTAAGAGAGTAGCCCAAGAGTTGGTAATGACTAGCTGCCTTCTCCCTAGTCTTTCACTGCTAAATTAGGGACGGCTAGCGCAGATAGTCCTCATGTAGCTTTATACGAAATTCAGAACAAACAAACAGAAGTTTTCCAGCTCATTAGTAAGTGCATTAAATGCAGTCGGTTTTGGCTTTGGTGAGTACCATCAGAACCTCTCTTACATCCACCTGATATGATGTATCAGAACCTCTCTTACATCCACCTGATATGATGTGATGTCTCCCTATATTTACTTTTTTCTTTTTTTCATACGTTGAAGATAAAAAGCAAGGTGGTACCACAGCATGTCTGAGTGACATCGCAGATTAGGCAAGATATACATTTTAGTTCACAACACTTATAGGTGGTATGTAGGTAATCCATCAAAACATGTGTAAACAATATGGTTTGGGTTTCGGAAAGCTAATGTCCACGGATTTCCCGCCATGTATTAGTGTACGGAAATTTAGCACAAGATTTTGTAACACTGTTTATTGGTAAAGTATATATCTCCCAGGCTACATTTGACAGTGAAATGTGATACAAGTCGCCGACATGTTGATGGTCTGCTATCATCCACTGACCTTTATAAACTCCAGGCAGCAATACCCTATGTGATTTTCACGCACATATCTGTAGAGACGAGCTCATTACGTGATAAAATAGTGTGAGTAGGATAGGGGTGGGTGGGAGAGAAACTAACCCATATACATTTTCACACTTCTTTCGCAAAATTCAGTAACCTTGGATTATGCTGTTGATTAAATGTACGTATTACTTCCTGGATAAGCTAAAACAAAATCAGAACATCAAAACATACTTTTTCGTGAGGCAATTTTATATCTGTGAAATCGACGTTTAACTTGATGCCACGTGATTTTTGTATTTCGCAACATCGTATTGCATAATTCTGTCCCGTATGAACCTTCTTGTTGTGCTGTGGCTAAGTAAAGGCCTTACACTATTAATGATCTCGTTAAATTCGATTATACAGAGACAGAGAAAGGTTGAGTACGCTGTATTAAGACGATTTTGGAGCTTCATCACGTCGTTACAAGCCATGTCACCACGTCCACTCATGCTTTATCTGACAACTTTACATCTTGACAATAAATCTCCGGCTTAGTTTCCATCGCAAAAGACTCCGTCATAAGGCTATAATGGCCATATCACACCACTCTTCCTGCAGGTTTTTCGTATAGAAAGAGGACAACGGTTTCCTAGCCTCCATTTCAATAGTCCAGTCACAGAGAAATCTGTTGGCGCTGCATCAGGTTATTTGATCGGTATATCTTCATGTGGAATAGCTGGATTACCCTTTTCATTCTGCAGCTGCTTCAGGTACGCCAACAGTTGAACAGGAGATATGACTAAAACCTTGTTGACCACTTTTCGGACCGAGATCCTTCTTTATTGAGATGTGTACTGTTGCCTGGGGCATGTGGACAGCTTTTGCCACTGACCTTTTTGTTCCCCGATTATCGTCTATTTCAAGCTGCTGTACTTTGCTTTCCACGGCTTGGGTACGACGTGTTACAGGTATCTTCCTGGATGGCCCTGGTATCCCAAGTTGGTCCACAGTCCCTTATTTTCCAAAGCCATTACGTACAATAAATATCCTTGTCTTATCCCTGATCTGAACACATCTTTATGACTTGAGTGTATGATTACTTTGCTTCGGAAAGTGCTGTTACCTACCCTTCGAAAACCGATTAATTTTCTGTGTTATCACAATCCTTACGAAACGCTAATGTCAAAGTGTAGCCCTGATACATCCCGTTTCACCATTACTTTATATTGCTGTAGCTGTCACATGACTTGCTGATTTGCCTATTCAAAACTATATTAATATAACGTACTAAACCCTCTGTAGTGGAATAGTCAATGTTAGTGACATCTGGGCTATATTTGTCAATATATAGGTAGAGTATATTTTATATACAGTTTGTTCAGTTCTGAAATAGTAATATAGAATTTTCCATCCGAACTTTGACATTTCTAGTTCTTATTGCGAAAGATAGTTTAAGATACAAGTAGTCAGTGAATGGGGACGACTTTCTGTTTCGTATGTATTTTACCAGATGTGGCGCGTATTCTACCACGTGAAACATTGTACTCGAGAAGAGGGAACTGTGTAAGCACATATATTTCATTCTAGCTTGTATTTATTCACAAGTATGTTCCCTTAGTAACGGCAAGCCTCAGTTAATATGATAAAAATTGATTTTGTCCGAGGGTAATTTAAATTTTAACAAACGATATTTTAATACACACTCAGTGTGTAATACTCTGCTAAACAAAATTATTTTTATTAAACGGAAGTAGAAAAAAGCCCCAGTAAATAAATGATTGAGGAAAAAATTCTATCTCTTAAAATTGATGAAAATAGGGATTTTTCTTCTTCTTCAGATACTTAGTATTTAAAGATACTAACTGCTTTGAAACTAAGCCTTATAAATTTTATTTCTATTGATGTGATACCTGGTTATATCATGAAATTGATATTTTGCCTCGTGCCTTGCTTGTTTACTCTCCACATTGGCGTGCGTTTGTGTAATAAATTTATTTTGTATCATAGTTCACGTCATGTATTACGCTACTGACGTCATATAATATTAAACTAGACACGCCATTCGGTGTTATGGCTTTCTTACAAGTGGCCTGCAGTATGGACGTGTAATCTATTCATGTTTAACTAGTAAATACTAAAATTCAGCAAAGGAGGTTTGAAGTCTACCTGCATTAACCGAATCTTTGGAGGAAATATTTGCATTTAAGTTTAACTATCTTCTATTACTATTAGGTAAAGTATTAAACTGTGTAGTTCACACCTTCGTTTCACTGTTTAAATTTAACTTTTAAGTCAGTGCTGTGATGTGATTATCTGATCAGATTGTAATACTAAAATAAAATACTAGGCTTTCCTAGCTATTGCAAAGACATATTTTATCAACTTTCTTGTCATTTAAAATAGTCATCCTTAAAAACGAAAAAAGATAAATAAATAAATGCAGTATTTGCTTTGCCATAATAGTGAGAAAATATATTAAAGTTTTATACCTTTTTAATAATTTAGGGAAAATATTATTATCTGTGTGTAATGTATTGCATTAGTTGTCAAAAATTAGAAAACAAGTAAAAATCTGAATTGTTAATATGGATAAGTAACGTATGTGTGTGTGATAAATTTTGCAAAGTACTTGTATAATTCAAATACAACTTAGCATTATGATGATTTAGATAAAATATGTTCAAAATCTGTAGGGAAAAAAATTGAAGTTTTAAAATATTTCTACAAAGAATGAAAGTCAAGACAAAAGCTGCCTTGCTAAAAATTGACTCATTTTTCTTCTTTGTTGCAATTCTGGCAAAACAAAAATTGTTATTAAAATATTTTTAGAAAAGATAGTCTCTAATGTTTCATATGTATGATATATATTGTTTAATTATTCAGGTACCTTTTGGATAATAAATAATATTTTATAGTTATAACCATTTAATCCATTATGTCATTACATCTTTATTTCGTGGGTCTGATACCATGCCTGTCACAGGCAGTTAAAGTTTGAGATACAATGGTTTAAAAGCCTCCTCTTGTATTGAGTTCTGGGTGCCAGAGTTACAGAAGTGTCCTTATTGTTGTATGCGCTTTATTTCTGCAGGTGATTTTGAGGTGGATCAAGAGTGACTTAGCTATTTCTTATTGTTCACTAATAGTTAGAATTAGAACAAGATATACTCAAGAACAGCTACACTAGTATTTAAACAAATTAATTGGATACTTGTTTTGCAGGTCTCAACATTAGACATTCCAAATCAGACCCACTTCTGCAGTTGAAGGCCCATTTTTGTTGCTCTGATTTTGATAACCACAACGTTCAGGAGCTGGCATTGCTAAGCAATTGGGAAAACTTGAGAGATAACCAAGTAGCCTTTAGCTGGGACTCTGACTGCATAAGTGATACAGATTCTGTGAATCAAGTGTTTCAGGAGAACAACATGCTGACTATTGAAGGATTACGTAATCACTATAACTCCTGCTTTTCGTAAGTGAATCTGTTATTTTTTAAATGTAGTTCTTAGTTTTCGTATTGGTTATTTGGATTTCTTATTAGAGTAATTTCATCTATCAGTACAAGTGATCACTGGTTGTCATGAAAAACCAAGCTGTCAGAACTACAAGAAAACTTATTATCCATTGAATGATTGAAAATATGCCCTGAAGCTACTTATTCTTGTGTCTTCAATCATTACTTTTCGACAAGAACTTTGGCAAATGTAGATTAATTTCTAATTTTTTGGTAAATGGTTTACTCAGATAATGTCTGACTGGATGGCAAATGCTCTTCTAGGGAAACTTGTGTGCACTAAATAAATATTCGTTTTAAGCAGTTATTTGAATTTGGACTATTTAGACATGTACTAATTGTGGGACTCATAAGAATTTTACATAAGAGTTACGTTTAGTTTTTGTTTATTGTAGAAAATGAAAAAAGATTCTTAAAATTTAAATATTTTTGTTTGTAATCTGACCTTGTATTAATTTTCTTGTCTGTTCATTCCAGGTGTGGAGTCAACTGGTATGAAGATCATGTGTCACTAGACTGTCCAGAGTGTGGAGGATATGCAATGCAGCGGCCTTGCCCGGAGTGCGATGGACAGTGTGAAAGTACATGGAGACGTGATTTGGCTGCTGTAAGCTAGATAGTCTGCATTATTTTGCTTTTCTAGGATTAGATTAATAGTCAGGATTTGTTTATTCAGGATAAACCAAGCTTATAGATACAGTCTGCAGTGTTGCACTTGCACTGTGTTTATAGTCATATTACTGACATTAGTCTAGACTTACAGTGGTACTATAACCTTTTACATCTATCTGAGCTTAGTCTCGCTCTCTTCATAGCATGTTTTTTGTTTTGATATAAATGAAATTTTAATAATATTCTGGGTTTATTGTAATGTTCTCTCCATCCACAGCTGAAATTAAAAAAGAAATTTATACTATGTTCCTCACAGTAATTATGATGTATAAAAAAAATTCTTTATTTTTTTCTGTACATCAGGTTGGGTATATACAGCATAATGGTGCTACATAGCAGTAGTATAATATTCTAGGTTTAATATACAAGAACTGTATTTTTAGGATAATTATTCACTCACTTTAAACCTTGTATATTTGAATCTGATTAGCTCTAGCCTTTCTTCATAATTTTGTATTTATTGTTACCAGTTATAAAATTCTGTAAGAAACCCTAGCAATTTGAAACCTTCTGGAAAGGATATTTAAAACTAGAAATCTTTGAAAGTTAATCATTCTTAAATTTTTATCTTAATATTTGTAGTTTTGCTTAAGTAATCAGTTGTTTTGCAAAGTAATTGGTATGTAACTGGTCCTTTTTTTTTGGATGAAAGTTTTGTTTTTTTGCTTTAAGTATTTAAAAATACTCTTGATGTTGTGTTGCATTTTTTTCAGATTCTATATATGTATAGAGTTTTTACTAAAGTATTTTAGTTTTTCATAAAGATGCATCATGTTTAACTTTCTGAAAATATTGTTAATTTTAGTCCCACAACACCAAGCAGGCTAAGTGGGAAGGTGAATGCAGGAAATCCAGGACCCAGACAAACCAGAAGCTGTTCCACCATAATGATAACTGTGAAGTTTTGACTAATGCTATGAAGAACTTGAAAACCAGTATATGAATCATTTTTTCTAAGAGGCCAGCTTAATCAAAAACTATCCTATGTAAATAAATGAGTTCTGTAGAACTTGAATAATTAATTGCCAAATTTTCTTTGTTGAAAGTGAAAATGGTTTTCAATATTCAAAAACCAGTATACTAAATTTAAATCTGCTAATAAAAAAATGTGGCATAGCACACTTCAGCTGAGGAAAAAAAATAAAGCATCATTTTAATCTGTCTCTCAAAAAAATCTTAACTTTTGTACATTTGAAAGTATTTACAGTATATTTCAAAATTAAATTTTATTTATTTATGTCCAATATTTTCAATGAATCGGTTGGTTTCTAACACTCCCCCTTTTATTTTTCTGTAAATTCTTTCCAAAACAGGACAATAATAAATAGTTTTGGTTAAAGAATTTCAAATATAGTAAGATTGAGCATAGCTGGTGCAAAAAATGCCTTATGTGAGTGTTTAGTTATTTTATTGTAATAAGTTTAAAGTTTATAGGAATTATAACACTATACTGAATAATATTTGTGTTATTTTTGTGTATATGCTTATAACTTTAAATTATGAGTGTTTTTGTTTTCTCCTTTCAAGTTCATCTTATTTTATTATATACTGAGTCATAAACAGATTTTACAATGTATTACAACAAAAAATGTATCTTCATATCATTAAACTTTTGATTGGAAATTTATTAAAACCATGTAGGCACAGAATATATTTATAATAATCTAAGATATGAAAAGAAAAATACAAAAGGAAAAAAAACAAGTCTTTCATTTTTTTATTTTATTCTAAATTTAACTTATATAAAAGAATATTTTATTCATCTCTCAGGAAAGGTAATATGTGTTTGTATTTTGGTTTGGTTTCAGTTTGTGAAAATGTATACTACATGTAAATTAAATTTTGAGAGAATTTCACTTTTTCATCTTAACCCTTTTTTTTTTTTTGAAAGGAGTAACTCATAAATTAAAAAAAAATTATTTTTTTGTGAACTGCTGTTGACAGTATTTTGACTTAATATTGTATCAATCATGCAGAATAATTTCACACTCTTACATTGTCTAGCTTTATTAAAACCAGCTATAACTTAAAATGATTTGGTGGAAACTCTTTGTAGTTTTAGTTTGACATTTTATCATGTTTCATTGTATGTTGTAAAGAATGTGGAATATATTTTTGAAAACTTTGATTAAGTTAGCCTCACTTTTGCCAATTTTTATATTCCTATGTTTATCAATTTATATTTTTTCAGTCTAAAGTAGTATTTTCTGGGCAGTCTGGTGTGTATAGTAAGCTTGATTTTGATGTCTTAAATAAAATTGCACATATTTATAGTTAATTTATTGTAATTGTTTTTGTAGTGATTTTCTTGGTGTAATAACTGCTTAAAACTTGGATTTGTTTCCTTGTATATTTTTATTAATTTTCTGGAACTTTTCATTTCATTATTTATTAAGATTTTTTTGTGGATAATATGATACTTGGATAACCCATTCTGGTACAGCTTTAACAAACTTGGATATCGACTGTCTGGTGGCTTGTGTATACATTTTGTCATGAAACATTATATTTCTTTTCAACTTCTGTAACCAGACAAATCTGTTGTGTGATACATTCTTGTCAGAACAACTTTAACTCATTGACTGCTGGTTCACCATATAGGGTACAGTTTCCTTCTGGCAGTTGAATTCAAGTGTGCCTATACAGTGTACAGCTTGCAAAAATCCATACTTGTTTAGAGCAGTTGCAGTTAATGGGTTAAATATTCTATATTAGGAAGTGTGTTTCTTAGTTTGTAACTACTTTTAGTAAAGCAACGTTATTAATTATTGGACAGTTTCATATAATTGTATTTAATTAACAAAACTTCTGTATAAGTTTTTTTTTATATTAAACACGAAAGCATTAACTACATCAGGATAAAATTGAAATCTGAATTAAAAATAAAGTAATATTCATTTATTTAGTACATATGTAATACCAATGGTTACAAAATGTTTCTTCATGAGTATGTTATTTACATTTTAATATGAAATTAGGCCAATTTAACTGAAAAGAATATTTAATAAACAGAGCTTGAAAAATTTTGTACTGCTTTATACTTATTAATAGTATATCATAAAGTTTAATTGAGATATTTAAACAATATTCCTCTTAAGAAATTGTCTTAATTCAACATACTTACCATTAGATAGATGTGGAAAATATTTCATATGTTATAAAAGATTTTCTTTGGTTAGAAACAAGGTTTTTGCACAGTAAATTGGAGGAGGCTTACCAAAAACAATCCTTCTTGAATGCTATCCTTGAGATTGTGGAAGTACAATAGTGAGACATTTAAAGTGAGTTTACACTAAGTTAAAAGTACTTTTTAACAGATAGCTTTTGATATTATTCCTAGGACCACCTAAAAACTTGTTGTTAAAAATAGTTCTAACAATTTATATGTAACAGTAATCATCTTGCTGTACAGGGTTAGGTTATTAAGAAGCAGCAGAAGTTATATAAATATCAAAATATGGTTTAGAATCATTGAGATTTTTCTCATCCAGTTTATATTTGATCATTTATTAGGCTTAAAGCATCCTTTTCCCAGTTTCATAGTACACCCTTAAATACTATATAGATGCAGATTTTTAGTAACCAAAAAATGTCCTCAATTTAATTTTAATTTCATTACAAACTAAATACAGAACATTCATTTGTTGAGAGAACTTTGTCAAACTACTTATACACCACTGCTATTAAATTAAGTAATTCATTTTAATTTTGGAATTCTGATTGAGCTATTATGACAATGCACTGATGAAACCAATAAAAGTTAAAAAGAAAGCATAACATCAAATAACCATAAATTGTATTGCACAAAAAATTTCCGTTGAAAATGCAGAAGGGTAATATTAAACATAATTGAGTTTTGGCTAAAAATATCTCCTTTTGTGTTTCTTCAAATATATTCAAAAAGAGTGAAACCGATACTGAAGGGGCCAAAATATTGATAACGTTATATAATCTTTTTATAAAAATAATGTACTTTGAAATAGTTATAATTTTTTGCTTTTGTACTGTAGAAAGAGTTAAGTTGATACAAAAGTGAAAGATAACTTTTAAGCAATCACGATATAATTTCTCATGATGAATTTCTACCGAAAAAAAATATTTTTTGTAGTAAATTTGTTCAGTTGGCTCAGTTTATGTACTAGTACATCTCAGTCTCAACAGAAATGGTTAACTAGTAAGTAAATGTATTTGTGACTACTTATCATCAGTCCCTTTGTTATATCAGATTATTTTTTGAACAACACAATTAATAATTATGTCTGCACTCGTATTTTATCAATGGTCATTGTTTATTATATCATTTTTACTAAATGAAAAATTGTTTAACATTAAAGTAATATTGACTAATGTTATCAAACTAATGAGTTAAAAAAGGGGTAATGTTTTGTATGGATCCATATTAGCCAAAGTTTGAGAAGGTTTTTAACACAATTTCCCATGATGATTAATATTATGCACCACATAAGAGTTAAATACATATTTTTCAGCAAGCAAGATATATCTTTTTCCTGATAGTTAAATATAAACAGAACCTTCTCTTTACAATACTTGATAAACCTCACTGAGTTATACTTTTGTGTATTTTCAGGAAAGTATGAATATTTAGTTAATAGACAGATTTACCTGCTTCAACATAAATATGTGATCTTAACTTTACTCTTTCTTGGTAAGTGAGTATTCACAATTTTCCTGTGTATTTTTGAGTTCAAAAATAAAAGGCTTTTGGTGAAATTAGTTTTTTTGTTTTAATGTATTTCATTCCATTTTAATGTTAATCACTTGGAGGAAGTTTTTTCCCATAAAATAGTATAGTGTTTATTAAACATTTTAATGAAAGCTTACAATTATTGTGAACATGTAAAAAATAATTATTAGCAATGTTTTTACTGTGTTATCAGGAGCAATTACCACAGAAGTTACTCAGTTCACATTTATTGGATCTGAAAAAAAAACAGCTTTAACACAATCTCACTGAAATGACATGTAGTTTATCTATTAAATTTGTTAATGTAGTGAACACGACTTACTATAAAATGCACAATTTAGAATGATTAATCATGCTCTGGTTGCAATATTTCACAAGTTTCTTGGTCTCTCTTCAACAAATTTGTTGAGTACAGATTCATATCCAAAAGTTTCAGTACATTTTCTCTTGAGAGTATCCTGTCTTATTACTCACCTTCAGTAGTTTTTTTTTTTTTATAATTTTGAGTTCGAGAAACTGTTTGGTTTCCACTAACACAGCAGGAATAGTGCAGATGATTTTGTAAAGGTGATAACATTTGGCATCACAAGAGAAAGTCCTGTCTGATACAGATATGTAAAAAAGACCTTGTGCATGTTCTCTTGAAATTACATCTGTGTCAGAAAACTTGCTGTTTTAGTAGTATGTAGTAATGTATATATAGGTGTGTTGGGCTGAGAATTCTTCTAAACTAGGTGTCTGTAACTTGTTGGCGATAAATGAACAGCACACTCTCCACTTGTTTTAAAATAATATATTCAAAACAAGTTAAGCGTACGTACAAAAAGTCTTTACACTATGTATATCATAGTTGCATCTTAAAAACTACAGTTCTCTTCTTGTCAAAAGTCCACTTAGGCCAATTCAGTTGCTTTAGAAGTCAGTTGACAAGCCGAACTATTTTTATCTTAAACACTATTAGTGTATAATTCACTTACGGTCGTTGAGTTACTGCAGTTGTATCATGAACTTCTGATACGCGTCTACTTTTTCGTATTTAGCCCTACTTCCAATCAACGTCTGCTTTTTGTCAAAGTTCACACAGGCAGGTTCAATTGCTTTATTAAACCCTTTGACAAGACAAATTATTCTCCTCAGATGTCAGAAAACTGTTAATCTCACCTTAACATATCAACAGTTAGGTTATTCACTCCTACGACAGTTAACTTTATATTTTCTAACCTTTCTTTAACCAAAACTCTTTCAATCGGCTTTACTTTTGGCTCTTTGGTCTTGTCTGGTCGCCACTATTTATATCTCTAACTGAGGTGTTCTAGAAATCTCCGTAACCTCAACATCAATAACTTAGAAACACAACTTCCGATAATTGTCTTTTTTTAACTCTCTTATTATGAAAAAACTAAAGATTCATAAAATATTAACTCACAAAATAAATTAATCTGGATTACTTTGTATGTGTTCTGACCATA